AATAGTGTAATAATAACCTTTTACTGAATGATAATCGATCAGCGCACAGAGAGCTCTACAAAATACCATGATGTTTGGCATCCATAAAAAGAATACTGTCGTCACTATATAATTAGTACAGCGGTCATATCAGTACCATAAATAGACGAAGACATTTGGACCGTTGTTAAAATTTACACATATCTGCCCACAAATAATAATAATAATATACCTTACACATCTTACACACTGCCCGTCTGATCCTGAGACATTCGACAACTTGTAATAATTATAGTACTAACTTGATAAACCTTAGTCCAGAGTTGCCATTAAAGCTACTCCTTAATTTAGTATTTGTAACTAATACTGTCAGTTCGTACATGAAACTGTGTGACATATGTTTTAATCTATAGTCGTTTTTATACCTGTTAACCGTCCGTCAGACCAGATCTACAGTTTTCGGGCTAATCTATCAAGCATTAGTCGTTTTACAAACCACTACAGCACTGCAAAGAGAAGGTAAACTTGAAACAAACCCTATTCGAACCCGTCTGGCCAGCGTGGTACAGTAGGCCAAACCCTCTAAGGACAGGCCTATGTCCAGCAGTGGACTGCTAAAGGCTGTTGATGATAATTCATCTAACTGTTTACTTAGATGTTTATATTTAGCACTTACTTTAGTCGTAAATATTGTTAATGTAAAATGAACTCTAAAACTGGAATAGACTAGTAATTTATTTGTTTGAAATAAAATACACGTGACATTTCAAGCATTGTTTAAAAATATATATATTATGTATTTTGTCAGCTAGAAAAATATAATCAATTGGATGCAGACAATAATGTAGGATATGTGTTTGTAAGTAGTTTATCTTTAGCTTATTGATGTGAGACAAAGGTTATTTCACAGAAGGTAACTCTACGAGATTATGAATAATTGACCAGAATTTTTGAACTATTGTAAGCCCGGTTTTCCATTGTTTTTAGTGATCGTCGTTTCTAAAACAATACTGCATTAAGTGGTCTTTTATTAAATTGTTGCTTAAAAGTCGCCCGATTTTGCACTTACGTCACGCTTCATAACCACCCAAAATTAATTTCTCAAATACGGAGTTTTGTCGTAAATCGTTTGATCGTTCTTGTTCTGAAAACCCGTTAAATGTCCGGCTACTAAGATTAAATGCTTAAACGTAATGTGAAAATATTTTTTTTAACTTATGGTTCTTATTTTTAATTTTACAGATATTTTACTAACACACTTTGGAGATGTGTTTATTGCTAATTCTATTCCTAAGAATTGGCAATTTTAAATGAGTATGTCGTATTTTATTCTCCGTATAAGAAAGAAGTTCGTATACCAAGGCCGGCTTGCCAAATCTATTCGGTCCATGATAAAAAAAAAATTAAGATTGACAGCGTATTTGTTAAACAAATGACAAATGGTAGGTGTCCACTATACCGTTGCACAGTATCTTATCACAACGGTTGGTTCTATTGAATTGATATTATTAATCACAATCATATATGAGACAAAATCTGATCATTGAAATATGTTTCATGAATAGTGGGATAATCTTTGTCTTATTCGTATTGTATAATAATATATGCGATAACCTTTGCCATATTGTAACAATTTGATGGGCTCTGTCCTGTAGTCGTCACATTATAATCCGAGTCTTTGAGTTCGTGTAATATCTTAAGACCATTTGTGTCTGCTTCAGATTGTAGTTTTTGGATTGTCCTTTATAATTTAATCTTTATTGATTTTATTGATTTGAAACGCTTTTCTTTTTGCTGTATCTGTAAGAGTAGTACCGTGTAAAGGGACGCAAGTTTGTTACAGAAATCCATGGAATCGGGCTCTCTTTGGTTTGATCAAAGGCGGGGAACCGCGCGCTTTTTGGTTTGACCAATGAGCGAGCGTGGTGCTTGAGTTGGCCGTCAGACGGTAGACGAGATGGATGTCGGATGTGACACATTCTATTGAGGCCATTGTAATGCTCGTCTTTTTTTACTATTGCTTTGTAGATATATTTAGGTTTTTTTTTCAGCAAGTAATCGAACAACTGACGACGATGTGAAGGTGTATAGAATTAGAGAGTTTTGGAAATACAAATAATCTGTTAATGTTCAAGACTGTGTTTTATTTTCGTCTTGAAATGACCATGTATTCCTGATGATAAGTGACTTGCAAAAATAAAAGTGACGAGTGAGATTTTACCCTTTTAGCCATCCAAACCCCCCTCCCCCCCCCTCCATAATCAGTGGGAGAAATTTATCAAGTACTGATTTGAATTGAGCAGCGTTTCGATACGATTGCAGCACTGATTACTGCTTGCATTCTTTAAGTTTCATTGAGTCATTAATCATTCATTGTCATTAAGTTCTTTCTAGTCCTCCTGGTTGCCCTACTACTGGTACTACTGGTACCCAAGACGGCGTGCGGTTTGTGGTCGGTTCGAGTCCGAAATAAAAGGAAAGGTTCTGTTACCGTCACCTATAATTAATATAATAAATTAAAAAAGTTTTCAGTCAACAATTGTTTATTCTCATATTTCGTCTTAAATACAAATGTATTCTAACACTCAGATCCAACATCTGCGCTCCTAGTATGAGTTTTTAGAGCTTATGTGTTAGCTTATCGCTGTCGTCCGCTTGTTGACCGCTACGTAAACTAAAAAGTCATACTAGGAGTACTTATCTTTAAACATAGAACGTAACGTTGAAATATTGTCAGACCAATTAGCTTCTAATAAATAATGAAAAAAGTAGTCCTTTATTTCTTTTTCTCTAGGAAACTAAACTATTACACGATATTTAAAAGAAATGCCAAAAAGGACTGACTTATTTGTTTAACTATTTCCTAAAAGATTTATGTAGGTACTTATGAAATGAAGTATGTAGAATAAACAAAAAAAAATTAGCACTCAAAATGACATCGGCCTTTTTTTCTATAAGGCTGATCAAAATATTTGACAACAGAATTGTCAAGTCAAATTTCATTAGACGCCGCTGATTTTATTTTAATTAGACATTAATATTTGACAGTTGTGGAAACTGTAATGACGCGGCGACGTTCAAATCAAAGTGCCTAAAGTTCTTTCGGCAATTTAATTTATGTAAACGAAGATCTGACATCGTGATATAAAAAAAATTCGCGTAGATCAGCCGAAATCAAGAATTAATCTAATAACCTTTAATGTCCTAAACACTTTCCATAACGTTCTTCTAACACTTATAAAACATTGACTTTAGTATTGTAAAACAGTCAGTCGAAGAATTTACATTTTTATTAAATAAAATCTTATTTTCTATTATTCAACTGAATATGTGATATTTTTAGATAGTTTTTGATTTGTCTGTTGGTCATCAACCTATTATAGTTAATCTAGATATGTGCTGAAAAAAGGGCGTGTTCAATAAGTTTTAATAATAAATCCGCGTGGATCATTGTTTCTGTTATGTTACTGAAATAATAAATAAAAATATCAAAACAAGTCGGATTGTGACCACAGCCCGTGCAAATTCGAAACATCAAGCATCCAGCATATATTTAAGTAATCCCGTTAACGTAAAACATAACTATATTACTATTCTTAATTGAAGTATATGTTAAGAAACCTGAAAATAATTTCATTTGTTGTGGTACCTATAACTTGCTTCTATTAGCTACATAGAAAGAAACCAGTGTGAAATAAAAACATACATCACAGACTAAAGGTTACAAAACTTTTTTTGACAAATCAAAAACTATCAATAAATATGTGTCTACTTTTTGTTATAAACATTACTTGTCACACTTGACAGTTGGTCGTGACTTGGATGAGTGAGATAGAAATACCTAGTGTGATAAATTGTATCTATATAAGTGCTGTACATAATGGCGCTTCAATTGCTGCTTTGAACCATAAATAAATATGCAACATGTATAAGCTCGCTTTGTAAAGAAAAGGGCTATCTAGGTCAGGGTTACTCAAAGTACTCAAACGGGTACGCGTAACTCAGGCGTACGCCTATCCGAGTTTAGGAATAGTTCGTTCGAGAGGGCTAATGACAGTTGTTTAGATGATGTATTTTTGTAGATGACGTTTGTTTGTTGTGTTTGGATACTTTCTTTTATATTAAGTCAGATGATTATTGTTTTTTTTTGCATAAATACTTTGCTTGTGTTTATTCAAGTGTTATTTTTCACTTTATATAGGGGAACAATATAGTTAACTATAATACTCAGTTTTCTAGGAAATATTGATCCAAAAAACTTCATTTTTAAGCTCGGATTACCCGGTGCATAAATATTATTACCTATTTTATCTTAACCTGTTGATTATAATGGTAGAAAAGATTTCAAGAATTTTCCACCAAATAACTTTATAGAATTTGATATGCAGACCATTAAACATTCAGATTTCTTACTAACGCCACAGCTGTATGTCCTTTCCAGGAATGTATAAAAGAACAGTGAACTTCGAACCAAAATGGGAAATATTTAAGTGGGTTTCACTCATTTACAGAACATTGTAACCAATAGTGTCCGTGTCACTATTTACTGGTCTTACGTTACATGGTAACGTTATAGTAGAGCGACGTTAACTGATGACGTGGCATGTAACATTGGAATCTTCGACGTCATCTGTAGTCGGCGCCAATGCCGACAGCTGCGTCGCTGTTGGTCTTCGCTAGGATCTTGGGCGGTTTGCGTCACCTGCAAAAGGTTTTATTTAAGAAACTAAGCGATATCTTAATAAATATATTCGTTTTATTAATCGTGTTATTAATATTCGTTTTCACGCCTAAGCTACTCATCGTGTTTTGCATTTATGCATTCAGTACGATATAAGAATGATGAAGGGAAACCCTTTTATTTTTAGATAAAAAAATGCTGTTCACGAATGATGGCGAAATCTTTTAGACGGTCGTCTGATAAAACAACTCGGTCTACTGTCATTAATTGATAAGCATGATGTTTGGACTACAGAAAAGTGACGTGTGATATTACAAAAGATTTTTTTTATCCCGTACAACTAGTCTATAAGTAAATGGAGAATATACCGACTTTTGCGCGTTGTTAGTTCCAGCGCTATATGTGACGCTAAAGCAGCGACGAGTGTGGCGGCCAGTGCTGCCAATTGTGTGCGCACACATAGCACTTGCCTCGCTACACACGCCAGCGCGAGGCCTGCGTGACGTGCAGCCAGAGTTACTGACCAAGGACCCCGCCAGCCTGGGCCGCCAATACAGAGTCCAGCCTGAAAAGCATTTCACAAGTGCTGGTCATAATTAAAGTACAGGAAACACCAGAAAAAGGAAAATGTCGTAGCTTTGTTTTGCTTCAGAAACCTATCTAGATAGATGCCTTAATATCCATCTAGACAATCTTCTATGTTATAAGCAAACTCTTCTGAGCCCAGAAGCTCGCAAGAGTTTATAATTTTTACTTTTAACTAGCGGGTAGCCCCGACTATGCACGGGTGTAATGTAGATACTACTAATAGTACCAATGCGGTGTCAGTGTGGAGTAATTAAATAAACTATTTTTATGATAAGATAGTACTATAGGATATCTTTATATGCAATAGTTTTAATTCTCCTGCCAGCCGCTGCTACCCGGGACGTACGGCCAAACGGGCCCAACGCAGTGACGGCCACTTTGTCCCCGCATTTATATCCTTGATATCTACTAAGATATCATGATGTACTGTAAAGGGAATCTTGATCTGAATTAAATGTACAACTTATCTAAAGTATTTATTTCGTTAAGGAATAATACTGTATTGTTCATAAAAAAAACATTATAGAGTCCAGAAACTTCTTAGCTAATCTATATCTATAAAAAAAAAAAACCCCGACACACATCTTGGATTTTATTGGATGCCAGAGACAGACACACACACACACACACACAGACACGTCAAACTTATAACACCCGTCGCTTTTGCGGGGCTAAAAATAGCTTCGTAAATTATCCATTTTTTTTGTAATATGTAAAAATTAAAAGTGCCTACTGTAGATTACCCTTACGATATAGACATATGCCATCGCAGACTTTTCTGTAGATCTTTTTAAGATACATAATTTTATTATACATTATATTGATCTATTTAAGGTTTAGTCAACGTTTGCAATCAAAACGCACAAAAACCATGTTCTTTACGACTTCACATTACAAATCTTTGAATTCTCGGCTTTTCTCTAAAATAATATAATAATAAAAACTTGACACATCTTACACACGGTTATCTATTCCCAAACTAGGCAGAGCCTCTACTATGGTCACCAGACTGCTGATAAACATAATTATATATTTCTAAATACATACATATTATAGCTAAATTACACCCAGACACAGAACAAATGATCGTGCTCATTACACAATATTTGTCCTGGGTGGGAATCGAACTCACGATCTCCGGCTTAGTTGTCAGGGTCACTAACCAGTAGACCAACTGGCCTAAATCACTCTCTCTCTCTTGCTGAAAACCGCATTAAAATCAATTGTAACATTTTATACCATGGAAAGATTAACTCGAACTTTACCCAAAAATGTAAATTTATAGAAAAATATTCAAAGGAAGAAAAAAGATCAAGCTTATAGATTATTGATGTTTTCTTTAAATTAAATACCTGTAAAACATCCCAAAGAGCAGCACATGCTCCCCAAGCAGCTGCTGCAAGTGCTGGCAGTGCTAAATCCGTTCGTGCAGCTCTCCATCGCAGCAACGCAAGTATTAACGAGGCATGCGCTGCTCCACCTCCTGCAGCGAGTGCTCCTCGTCTCCCTCTAGCTGCGGCCATGCTAAGAGTACCAGCTGCAAGTGCTTGCAAAGCACCAGCACCGCACAAAGACCGCCACGCACACCACCAGCCATCAACACATACACCGTACCACTAAAAATGAATATATCATGTAACTTAAGTAGTCTATAATACACGAAGAAAATTCTTTGAACCTTTTTTTAAACAAATATTTATATTTGGAATACCTTACATGTGGAAGAAATGAAAGAAGAATAGAAAGCTAAATTTTTTAATCAATTTGCTCTATAAAGTTCTAAATTATGTAAAAATGGCTACCCAGTATATATTTTCAACTGTCACGTTGTCAATTACAAGTTATTCTACGTAATAAAAGGAAACTGGTCAGCCGCAATCTTCTTCTTTCTAGGGTATCTTTAGTGCACCAGGGACTTCTTTTCTAGGGTATATCTGGTTCCCCGGCTATTAGTACCCGAGACGGCGTGCGGTTTTAGTCGGTTCGAGTCCGACATGCCACCGATAGGTGGTATCCGAGGGGATTTCCGCGCGGAAAAAAAAAAGGGTGATCTTTAGTGACAATAAAATTCATGATAATTATTCAAAAAATTCACATTCAAATAAGTTTGAGAGCAAAAATAAATCACTCCATTCTTCATCACTGGCCGTAAAATGCACAAGTCGAAATATAATTTTTTTTAATGCGGGAATTAGTTGTTTCTTTGGCGACGTAGAGTGAATATTTCATCAGCTCAAGACGACTATCGCTTTTCAGTAGTGTGTTAAATGAAACTGTACTTTTATTTCAGAAACGTGTATAGCATAACAAATTAATTTATCAAAAAAAGTTGCCCTTTGTTTGTAATATCTAATTGTTTAAGCAAATTTTAATTATTTACTTGACTTTTATTAAGACTTTCTTTGCTAATCATGACTTTCCATCAACATCACACAAATTCACGTACATCCTTTCGCTTACTAAACATTCGTTATTTTTAACATTTAAAAAAAAAGGTATCATAAGTGAACATAAGGTTACTTCATGAACTCTCAACTTGATGAACCAATTGAAAATTACAAATTACAACTTAATTATAAGTAAAAAGTAAATTGACTGCACTTATGACGTAGCGGTTTAAGCGGTCGCGACGCCGCTTCCCATTGCGTCGAGTGTTGTGGGTTCAAATCCCATGGGACGACACTTTGTGTGATCTACAAATTGTTGTTCTTAGTCTGGGTGTACTTTGTGTCCGTTTCATATATGTTTGTAAAGTCCCCCGCAACACAGGATTTATTTCTAGTGCGGGATTTGTCTTTAATAGGAAAAAAAAAGGAAAAAAAATGACAACACGTTTCTGTAATATCTTTCATAAGACTGTATCTCTAATATTTCCGTTCTTAAGAAATCCTCTGAAAGTAAAAATACGCACCTTAATATAAGATGTATAAATAAATCCCTGTTGAAGTCCAATAAATAACCCCATCGGAGCTCCTAGCAATGCCCTGGGGTCTTTTAGTATAGAACGAGCATCTGGTGGAGGGGCAGGTGCTGAAGTCGCTCCATACACGCCCAGCCCAACTGCCAAGATTGCAAGTAGCGACCACACTGCCACCAAGATCCTTCGACCGTCAGAATTGAGGACAGTCCCTGATAGAGTCTGCGTGTCAGGACAACCTGCTGCCCCACATATACGCTCCTGTAAACACATTATTATTTAAGTTGGCTAATAAACACTTGCTCTACCTGATAACAGACCATAAGCAATGCCTTTAAACACTCGTAGTAGTTTTTGCGAATCTACCATGGTGCTTGCGCAGCTCTACTCTGGAGTAGAAAAAGAGTGGGATTGGTTTATCGTTCTTTTTGTAAATTAACATTCCACATGGTTCAACATGTTCATCCCTAGACATGTTTGGCGAATGGATAGATAACTGCTATACATTTTTTATAATAAGGCCATATGTGCAGAAACCTATTAGGTTATAGACTGTTTCCAAATTGACAAATCTCTTAAGCAGTAGTTATAAGATTTCATCAAACCTTCTGTATATTATAATATATAAGGTTTGCTGATGAATTTAACCAGGACAAGAAAGAGTACTGATTCAACAAAATAGTGTAATGTAAAAAAACTATATAAGTAATAAGTACTTACCTCATAATCATCCTCCAAAAAATAGTCCTCAGGCGGTGGCCACTTCGGTAAAGAGATGTTTGTTGGAGTTGGAGTAGAAGGACGTGCGATTTCCTCTGGCCAAATAAGCAGCGCGGCACCAAGTAGTAAGGACCCTGCCACCAGCCCGATATCCTGAGCAGCTCTTAAAGCTCTTAATGCCCTTCGTAGAGCAATTTTTCTTCTAGCCTCATCGCCTGCAGCTTGAGCCAATGATGTTGCCGATGCTGATAATGCCAATGACATTGGTGACAACGTCACTCCACAAATCCCGTATAAAAGAAGTAAAACTGATAATGGAGTATCCACCGTATGCGCTGTCAGCAGAATGCAAACTAAAGTATGTGAAATAGCTATAACTAACCTCGCCCCTGTCTTTTGTAGAATAAGAGGTGAGAATGGAGCTACTATGGCAGCAATTGTGTGCATTATAGCCAAGGGCATGGCCCCAGCTTCTGCTCCAGCAAATGCTGTGAAAGGTAGTAATGCGGTGGCGCAAAGACCGCTTGAAAGACAAAGTAGTGTGAATCTTTTGACCAGGGGCTTTGGTAACTTCGGTGGCTGTCGTGCAAGGAGCCGTCGGACTGAGGCTGCACCAACGGAAGAGGCGGCAGAATCTCGACGGCGTGTCGCAAGGACAGGCCCAGTTACACGAATTGGTGTTTTCTGCTTCTTCCAAGGCCATTCTTTCTTATAAATAGTGCTAACTGGAATCTGTGGAAATAAAGATTTATATATTTTTAAATTTGACGACATTGAAAACTTTTAATACAATACACGCCAGAAATATTTTTGTACAGTGTGTTTAAATAATTAGGGAAAAAGAATGCAAAAGATTTTTGCTTTAGGATTTTTACAAAATCAATACAAAAGTTAGGGCCCATATTTATAATTTTAACAAAAAAAATATTATTTAGATGAATCTTTCTCAAAGTCTTACCAAGTATCAATTTACACACTCTGGTAATTGGTTAGCTTTGTTTTATTGTTTGATTCACCTGAGTGATGATAGCGCGGTGCCGGTGCGGGTCGGATACAGTCCGGATAGCGGCGCGAACAGGCGTCGGACGCGAGCGCTCCGTGAGGTCCGGTAGGCTGCCCATGCGCACGAGCCGGCTATTCACCGGCGGACCTGCGCTCCGCTCTCATACCTGGACATCACAGACTAATAGACCTTTAGCACACTATAGACAACTTTTTTAAAATAGTATTCAAATTAAAAGTAGCAGCCGTTTGGGGTATATATAATTTGTTACCTTTTCTTGTTTTTCACTATACTACAGTACGGTACGAGAAGTTCTAGTTTTATGGTTTACGCGACTTAGTGAAGAAACAAGCATATAGCTTTGAAGTGGTTAGGAAGGTCTAGGAATATTTACCATACGTCTTTTGACACATCGACGCCCCCCGCGAATAATCCGGTAATGACCTATTACGGGGTTTTTCATGTTATGCGTTTTTCGGCATCTAGAAGTTAAAATACACCATGTAATTTTTTTTTTCTTTATTTACGAAGATATGAAAAACTACGCGTATATCCCATAAAAATTCATTAAAATGTATTTTAAACGAATAATATGGTTTTAGATCTTTACGAAAAAAAATATCAATATGATTTGACAGTAAAATTACTTTACGATATTATTCGGGTAAATAGTTTTCTACCTTATTTATGTAACATTTTATTGTTATGACTCTTACTGTTTATTCGAATAGTTTACTTAAGTATTATTTGATGATTATTATAGTATATTTTATGAAGTAAAGGACATTCTAGTAAATGAAACAACTTTGGTTAGTTTGACAAAACACGATAGTTATTATTATTATAAAAAATAGACACTGCACTGAAGACACGACTATTACACATGATTACACAATCATGAAAATTATAATAAGGTCCTATTACAGTTAAAAATGTTAATCAGAATCCTCATCGTGACCTGATTCAGTATCACAAAAGCTTAAATTCCTTTAAAATGGTTGATAATGGTGGGGAATTGCTTGGGAGTTACACAGGCTTATTTTGAATGTACCACAGTCTGAACTGTCAATTTTCCACCACAAACGTAATAATAATTTTACGTTTAGCAGGTTCAAATTGGAAAAAAAGGGTGCATCGAAATAGGGAGTTGCTTGTTTCAATTTGTCAAGACCTTACACGAAAAAGGTATACGCAAAATTATATTTTACTCTGATGGTTGTTATGGCCAGAATAAAATCAGATACATTTTTGCGTTGTATCTTTACATTGCAATGACTCTTCAAATTGAAATTACCCATCGGTTTGTTGTTGATGGGCATAGCCAAAATGAATGCCGACTTAATGCACGCATGTATTGAAAGAGCTCAGAAAAACAAAGTTTTGTACACACCGGACTAAGTATATAGTATCATAATGAACGCTAAAGTCTCCGAAGACAAATATATACTAAAAGAAATGCAACAATCTGAAATCCTCAACATAAAAGAACTTGTTGAACCCAAAAGATGGCTTCAAGATAAAACAGGAGAAAAAGTACGATGGTCCGATGTGATGGAGGTTAGTGTGTCATACAGGAAACCTAACTGTTTTCTTTTCAAATATGATTTTGATCAGGATTATATTGAATTGGATTACGATGCAGGCAGAAGTAGACAGCGTCGGCAGAAACAGGTGTCCAAAACAATTGAAAGTATTGAATTAAAGCCAGCATATGACAAGCCACTCTCTATTCAAAAAGCTTTGTATTATGATTTCCTAAGCCTGTGTAACTCCCAAGCAATTCCCCACCATTATCAACCATTTTATAGGAATTTAAGCTTTTGTGATACTGAATCAGGTCACGATGAGGATTCTGATTAAGATTTTCAACTGTAATAGGACCTTATTATAATTTTCATGATTGTGTAATCATGTGTAATAGTCGTGTCTTCAGTGCAGTGTCTATTTTTTATTCGTGTTTTGTCAAACTAATCAAAGTTGTTTCACTTACTAGAATGCCCTTTATTTCATAAAATATACTATAATAATCATCAAATAATACTTAAGTAAAATATTCGAATAAACAGTAATAGTCAAAACAATAAAATGTACGTTACTGTTAAACAATCGAATAACCTAATTATTACTTTTTACAAATGTTCAGTATAAAAAACAAATTACACGAATAATAGCGCAACACGATATTACCGTTGCCGTCGAAAATATAAATTTACACGAACAATATCGTAAGTGACATTACTGACCAGAGCTTGACCTACACTAATATAGTAAAATGCATCCAGCTAAATTATAACGAAGCCCTTGGGACTACTTTAATTTTGTTGAAATAACCAGATAGCTGAAAAAATTAGCTTCCATATGCGATATAAAAAGTCTCTGATACTTGTTGTTTAATAGAGTTCTTAAGGAAAAATGGTTTTTTATTTTTTCTGAACATTTACACTTTTACGATTACCGGATTATTCGCGGGGGGCGTCGACATTTAGTTGTTAGTTAGGGCATTATAGGAGATAGAAAAATGTTTAATTCGAGATAGGGGCGTGAGTGTTCGAGTATGTATAAATTTCGTGTATGCGCACTAAATTTTATAGGATACACACACACACTTTTATAGGGTAAATGTTCTTTCAAGACAGGTTATTAAAATCCACATAGAAACCCAAACTTCGTTACACTGAAGTTATAAACTAGAAACGTTTTTGAGTAGTACTCGTAAGTGGGACAAGTGCAAAGTTGAGTTATTATATGTTAAGCTAAGTAAAACCTAAGCAAATGCTACCTAAGCAGGAAAACCAATGCTGCCCGAGGAGTATTATTTTTATTGATTAGTAATACAGTCTACCTAAGGCAGATTAAAGATCGCTTATAGTCCACAGTAATAAGTACGCTTCTGAGTGCAGATATAATATTTTCTGCTCACTAAAGAAAGAAAGTGAAAAGTATTTTATTAATAGAATAGTAATAAAAAGCGAATGGTATATGTGTACCTACATACTATACGCACAGAATAAAAACAGTAACACGGGAGCTGTAGAAAAACTATTTAAATATATGCCCCATAATGTCATTAGTACACGTCGATTTTGCCTTGGGCAAATAGTTTTTTACCAGTAGAGTAAATGTAACAATAGACTTGCTTAGATGTATGTATACTAGCTGACCCTGCAAACGTTGTTTTGCTATTTACATTTTATTTTATTTTTTTGAATTATTAAAATCCGTTCTTAGCTGACCTCTACTCATTATTATATACTCAATATTCCTACCAAATTTCAAGTCTTTAGCTCTAATGGTTCCAGAGATATCGTGATGAGTGACTATATACGTGGAAATCTCTTATATATATATATAGATAGATATCTAAGCGAGTCTATTGGTATTTGGTCTATATCTCAAACGTGACATACAATGAATAGAACCGTGTAACAGAAGGATAGGAAGGCTGGAAATACGTTTGTTACACAGTAAGGGACACAAAGACAGCTAGCTATTGTGTTCATGTGTCAATGACTGCCCACTTCTTAGGCTTCTTGTATTTTCTCTCTAACGTTACTGACGCATATTACTTTATCAAAGGAGCGGTGTGACACAAATTTAGTATGTATAAGCTTAGCCGTCACAGTTGTAGCTATTTTAGTACTTCAAAAAATCTCCGAAGACACAACCTTGGTGTTTTTTAAAGTTAAAGTTTAAAGTTAAAGTAGGCAATTACATCGACATCGAGCACTTGATTACGAATAGTACTGGGTCGGAATCCTGGGATTCAATAAAGCGGGGATCCTGGGACTTGAGCCAAAACTTCTTTTCTATGGAGAGGCTTATGTCCAGCAGTGGATGCGTTGGTGTGATTACTGACGGACTAATATTGACGGATTTGTTATGCTACTTCACCTACCCCTTCCCTACCAACCCTTGTCTACCCTTTCAGGGAAACGGACGTGAGTTTATGAAGAGATATTTCTATTGTAGACTAGCTATTGCTTTCGGTTTCGCGTGATTAATTCTTATTTCGTGTTTCTTACTTTGAAAATTACGAACTTTCATACAACCGTTCATCCCTTATTTATCCCCTTAGGGGCAAAATTTCGATAAAGTTTTTTTATAGGCTGTTGATAATGATGATTACGAGGCACATTCAAGTTGTTGATACTTTTCAAAAGTTAAATATCGTTATTATAATATATTTTATTTTCAAATCTTATATCTCTAGTACATACTCGTAATACAGATTACTGACGTCGAAAGAGTCGGCATTAGAAAAAACATTTCACTATATATGATATCAGAATACATGAAATTTAACAACAAATAACTAGAAATAATTATAAGTAAAGAAAATAAAATTACCATAGAAACTACATGCATGTCTCAAATCCATATTTTGTTATGTCATATTAATAAAATACACACTGAATGACACTGAATTAATAAATTACAAATTACACTGAATTAATAAAATTATTGAAACCATATAAATTTTGTCCTGTCTTGTTATTATTTGAATTAATTAACATTGAATTGTAAAGCAAACATTTTTAGAATGCTGTTGCTACTGTCTCTCATACGCCTTAATAATGAGAAGACTTTTCACGTATTATGGCATAATATGTGCCATCCGTATGTGCTTCGGCAAACATTAGAGACGCACTGCAGTAGGGAGTTAGCCACATCAGCATTCTAAAAATGATATTGCATTGAACACGTAAGAAACTGGCTGCCTGACGTGTTTGTCTTACTCATAAGCTGCTCGAGTAAATCGATTGGCAATATGCTGTAAACAGAGTGATTTTTACTTCACCAGAAAATCAAGCAAATCTACGGGCAATCATACTCCCTTCAACCGCCAGTCTGCCGAGCCAATGCAAAAGACTGTAACTTGACTTATAGTGTTTTGCCTTAACAACGCTCAATCAGTTTCTTTAAGTCGGCTAAGTACAAGTCAACACTTTTGTTAGTCTAAAGTATATTTCAGAAGAGACAATAATCTAAAAATTACTGTACTGTATTGAAATTATGGTTTTAACATGGTAAAAAACTGTTACAAAGCTTTCAAAGTCAAAAGTCGTTTTCAAAAGATACAGTGGTTTGGATTGGCACGGCAGCAATGCCCTACGCTCA